GCAGATGAATGTGCTGCACTTAGCTATGTGGGTAGTAAACAGTAAGAATTGCACGAGAAGAGTAAAGAGAATCTTGTTAATCGTTAGATGACTAAACATTTCCTGGCCTTTTTTTAAATTATAATTTCTTTAAATACCTTTATGCAGTACATAATTTAAAAATTAAATGTGTTGCATAAATAATTGTCTTCTGGGCCTGTTCTTTTCGAAGTACACTCCTGAGGAACGTGATCCTGTCCCTTTGAGTATCCACCACATGCCTATTTGTGTCAGTTTTGCCTTCTTCCAGCAAGGGTAAGATTTTTTTTTTTTTTTTAAAGACTTTTGAAAGAAACAGCTTATTGTCAATTCTGAATTGATTTTAAACATGGAAGAGTCCTAAAAATATTTATATTGATGAGGCGATTTCTTAAAACGCTTCATCTGAAGTGAGGTGCCATGGGGAGATGTTGGTATTGTGCACAGTGTACCTGACCAGCAGCAGCTTTCCACAGGTGACACAGAAGAAAATTCGGGGGGTGGCCTGCCCGCAATAACTAATAAGTAAAGCAATTTGTTTAATTGTTTTAAGGGTAGTAACTTGCTTCAGACTTTTGCTGTTGCCTTCTATTTAAAACTGTGATTCTAGGACCTATTTATTGGTGGATCCCTGTGAACGCGAGGAACAAGTAATGGACGGCCTCCTCGTAATTGCCATGAATAAACACCAAGAAATTTGTACCATCCAGTCCAGTGGAGGCATTATGCTAGTAAATGATCAGGTAAATCTTTGCCTTGACTCATCTTTCTCTCTGTAAGCAAACTAGTTGCTGTGCTGTAATCTTGATATTGAAATATCCTTGACATGTGGAAGCAAAGAAACCAATTACGTGCCTGATTTAATTGGAGAAGATTACACATTTTCCGTCCTAGCAGAAGAGCGTAGTACCATGTGTATCGTGCTGAAGAAGAGATGTAGAGAAGGCGTGCCGTTTGGTCAGATGCACATCACTTTTCTCCCTGTGATTTGCCCCAGTCTGAGTTAATTCAGGCTAAGTTAATTCAGACTGCACTCTCAGGAGTACCTGGGGGCTGTGATATTAACCTTTTGCATCACCTTGTCCCTCGATGCCATTATTTTAAGTGGTTGTGACTCCTATGAAGTTCTGTGGTTTTAGTTAAAAACACTTTGCTTTCCTGATCATAAACTGTTGTTGTATCTGTAACAAACAGGTTCTGCGATGCAGTAACATAACAGCTGTTAAGGTGGCAGAAATAACAGAACTAATTCAAAAAGCCTTGGAGAACGACCAGAAAGTTAGGTGAGTGTTTTGGGAAGGAAGGGAAATGGGAAATTTTTAGGAAATGTACTGGAAGTGGTGTCAACCTGTAGTTTGACAAGCAAATAGTTCTCACTTCTGTTTGTTTCAAAGAGCAAGCATTTGTATATTTGAATTTGAAAAGAGGATGCCTTTTTAAGTATGAAACACCCTGAAATAATGCCTGTTGCTGCATGACTAGGAAAGAAGGTGGCAAGTTCGGCTTTGCAGAATCTATACCGAATCAAAAAATCACCGCCTTCAAAGTGGGGAGTGCCGCTGTTGATACGAACAGTGTGGAGGAACAAGCAGAAGAAATCATCACGAAAGCTGGCCCTCCTTCAGAAGTGTATCTTTTCTGTTGTATTGCTCAGGGGAAACCAGGCCTCCCATCCCTTGCGCTGGCAGCTCCGCGCACGCGCAAGGCTCCTCGTGGCCTGGGTAGCCTCACGGCAGCATCAGGCTGGCTTTGGCGCTGCCTTCACTCCTAGCGTGAAGTGCAGAACCCGTGTCTGAAGCAAGTCATGGCTGCGGTGGCTGGAGAAGTGCTCTCTTGACTCGCTTTTAAGGGTGTTCTCCCCTGGGGAGAAAAGACAGAGCTTAAACCCAGCTGGTTAGCTCTCGGAATACAAGGAGTTTGCCGGCAAACGCAAGGGTTTTCCTTAACTACTTCAGTTTCGCCAAACCCATATTGCACACTCCTGGGACAGCGCAAATTGGGGAAGGAATAGAGAACGCCTGGGGAGACCTTGAGGAATCTGAGAGGGAAGAAGCAGTGGAAGAGGAAGGTGAAAGTGAGGCTACTGCTTTGGAATTCCAGACAATAGAAAGTGAGGATACAAGGAAGGAAGCTAAGGAGGGTAAGTATGTATTTTTCTCTATACCAGATATGCTTGTGGTGAGGTGGCTTATTAACAGTACAGAACTGAAATGTGAACGAGGTCCTTGGCAAGAAAGGAGAGCCATTGTAGCCACTGTCCACTTGAGAGTTACACCCCTTCGCTACTTTCCCTTCACCCGGCTGGCCCCTTCCGTTGGCTCCGAAAGAAAACTTGGCATCTGCAACACCAACGCAGGGCTCCAAACCTAAGCAGTGCCCACTCTGCCCGTGTCTGTAAGCTGCTGTGGTTGGCAGTTACAGCAGCGGGTTGTACAGAGCTGATGCCTGGTTTGTGGTTGGTTTTCCAGACGAGCCTATTGTGCTGTCCGACAGCGAGGAGGAAGAAGTTGTCATTCTGGAACCGCAGGAACTACCGAAGAAAACAAGGTAACCAGCGCGTGAAATTAAGAGGGGAAAGGAGTTTGTAAGGAGCGTTTTCAGGAAGCGCAGGATTTTGGCAAGGCCAGGGCAGACCTCAGTTGACCGAGGGGAGTGCCTAGATAGCCGAGTCAGGTTTAGACCTAGGCTAGTTTGCTGCTTTTGCAGGAGGCCGGTCAGCCTGGCTGGCCTGCCGCTGTCTGAAATGGTTACAGCTCTTTGCCTAAGCTGACTCCTGCCAAAGGGAGGGAGAGCACGGAAGTGGATTTCACTCGGCTGCTCCTTAGAGATGCTGCAGAGCTGGTACGCACTATGCTACAGCTAATCTTCGTTTGGTCTCCAAGAGGTGAGGTTTACGAGCCAGGGAAACCCTCCTTGTGTACAGCACACCTCCTAGAAACTGGGTTTGACCTTTGTTCCTGTCGTGATCAGCCTGGGTTCTCTTGGAATAAAACTCTTCAGTGCATTTCTCTGATACAGATGTTGTTTTCTTGCAGAGCACAGACCAACCCCAAAAAAGAAAGTGCAAGAAAGAAAGCATTTACTAAGAGGAGAAAAAAGAAGAGAGCAGCTTATTAAAGCTCTCGTCTCCCTCAGGAATGCTGTACAGGACATCGTTCGGTCTGTCATCACTGAACTTATTTTTGTAGATAATTCTGTCTCCTCCCACCCCGTATCTGGTCCTGCTTTTATGTGTATTTTATAAAATGATTGTACGTGGCTTTAAATAAAAATAATCGCATGTAAGTGAAATTCCATGCTTGGCATCCCGCTGCAGTAGGAAGCTCACCAGTTCCCCTTGAACTGACTTGAGCGCTGGGGCTTGGGTGGCAGGGGAAGGATGTGCAGCTCTAACAGAGCCGCCTCGGCCGTTACCTGGGGCGGGGAGCAGTGGCTGCTCACAGTTGAGCTGGCAGAAGGAATTAGGGCTCAGTTTTAAGGCTGGGAAGAGCCTTTAACTAAGGCAGCTCTTACCATACCTGGGCAGCGTTGCGCACCTCGGAATGTTCTTCACAGGGCAAAGGGTGGGCCGTGACCACGGTGTCACGCCACAGCTTGGTTGAAACTCCGTTGTTGGACATCAGCAGAAACACAGACGTACCAGCACGCAGCGTCAACCTTTCACAGAGAGGCAACTCGTACTGCAGCCAGAGTTTGTTAAAAAGTTTAATTAAATACTACATGCAACAGCCATGAATGCTTCGTGAACTGTGTTCAAAGAATTACGCTCTGAATTTAGAGTTGGGCCAAATCAAGAGATGGTTTCCAAAATACACTTCGACAGCTTAAGGGAGTAACACTACCCCTCAGTGGTTTGGAGGTGTTGGCTGCCATCAGATGCAGAAAATTGTTAGCCAACTTAGCAATGGCTTAATTGAACCTGCTTCCGCAGCCCCGCTGCTTCCCCTGCAAAGACCAGCGGGGACAGGGCAGCACGGCTCCACTTACACAGGCTGAAGGTAACGTCCGCGTTATCTGATGCCGACGAGGTGCTCGTGCAGCAGCTCTAGCACTAGGGAGTAAAACGAGACCAGCTGGTCTGCGTTGCTGCCGCCGGCTGGGGCAAAAACCTTTCTCAGCAAGAGGGACGTACAGAATTCGTAGCGTCTGCGCATCGCCCATCCATGCCAGCAGGTTCCCTCCTCCTGAGGGCACGGGGCAGCTTCACCCCCGGCAGCTTCATCCTTCCACTGCCCCTGGAGAGGTACCAGCTAAGCAGACTGATGACTTAATTTTGTGTCGGAAATACCAATGGGCTTTCGGGATAGCTAATTGATCCGTGGGAGCTCCGTGGGTGTAAATTAGTATCGGTTCTACGCTTCGACTAGAATATTTTCCCTGTAGCGAGACCATTTTCTGCCTGCTGGAGGAGTACAGACCATCGTAGTAGTTCTAGCCGCGCAGTCCCTGCAGCTCCGCCCGGCAGGTGTCTGGCAATCGAGGCTTCCAGCACCTGGCGCGTCCTAGAGAGCTTCGCGAGGCTCAGCTCCAGCAAGGCGGTCGCCCCATAGCGCTAGCGTCTCTCCCAATATTATGTTTGGGATCTATGCTAAGTCTGTTTACGCTAGACAGTATAAAAATGCTACAAATACTGCTGCGGAGTCCTTCTTGGACTTTTGGAAGGAGAAAACGCCCTATTGTGGTAATGCACTGCTAATGTCAATGTTTAGTCTACGATTGGGTAAGTAGTCTCAGACGTCACTTGGTCTGCATGGTTAATTCTGTGCTGAAAGAGAACACCTGTCTAAAATCCAGCTAAATATTTTAATAAGATTGCATGTACAAAAGATTTACATCAAAACCACATAAAACTAGCTTCGTCCTTAAGCCCATCGAAACCTGCGCTCGTATTCTGAGTGATCGCATCTAGCATTCGGAACCACGTTTAAAACTGTACATCATTTTCTTGTATATTACATCCCTTTAAAAGATCAGTCTCTTGATTAGGACAATAAGTGTAGTGTCTCTGGCGGGTCAATAAGCGATACTCCGTGGTACCTAGGGAGGGAAAAAAAACAAGTGCTCTCTGCCGTAAAGAACGGCACGTGTACTGCAGCCAAGCGCACTTTCCACGAGGCGGGGACCGTTCGGGGGCTCGTCGCCTGCCATGCCACCAGCACAGGTTTTTAGGAGCGTTAGGGCCCACCTCCTGCAGGGACCGTCAGGAGAACTCCTCCGGTTTCTACCCAGCAGTTCAGGCCGTGGCAGCAAGCCTGGCGAGGAACCCCAAGTGTTGCTCAACAGAGCCTCGCGCAGCAGCCTGGGAAGTCCCCTCACCACCTCACTTAGATGGCAGATGGATGGCTTAGTGAGTCTGGCTGAAGACCCGAGATCCAGCCCGCCCCGTGAGGCAGGTACATGCCAGGACAGCCCCGCGTGATGTACCGGCTCACCGTGGGGTCCACGCATACTCACTTGGTACTCTTGTACTTTTCCCGTATGGACTGTTGCGTGTGCTGTGCTGCTCTGAGGTAGGTCTTGTGTAGGTCCACGAGGCAAGGCTTGATGTCCTCAATGGTGTAGCCTGTTACTTTGCACAGGGATTCAGGCTGAGGGAAAAAGGAAAGGAAGAGGGACGTTGGAACGCTTCCGTGCACTGATGCCGACGACCGCTGCTGAAGAGCTTACCTTCCTGTTGAAACTCTTGTTCTACTAGGTGGGCAGTGTCGTTTTCTCAAGCACAAAGTAGTTTAATACTCTCTGCTCAGATTTTAACAGCTCCTACGTAGATTTACAGTAATCCTGAAAACTATCATACTCTAAACAAGTATTCCTTGCCTCCAGTGCTGAGGCTTTCTCAGCATCCACGTCCTCATCCCAAGGAAGCTGCTTACAGCTTTAAGGAGCATCACCACAACAGGGAGCATCCCTAGGTGCCTCCTCCTTCCAAGAACAGGTGCCAACCGCCCCCTCCCCATTTTCCAAATACCACGTAGGGAGCCATTCCTAACTAACGCCTGGGAGCGTGGAGGCCCCAGCAGTCAGGAGTGCAGACTGACACGCTAAACACGCCTGCCGGTGCGGGAAGGCTGAGGCTGCAGTGCTACATACCCAGGTTTGTCCAGTGACCGTATAGCCCGCTAGCTGAAACGCTGCGGCGGCGATAAGTGACGGCAAGTACTTCAGGTAGGGATCGGCATCGATTAGACTCAGCTCCCCGAGGTACTGCAAGGGAAATGAGAGAAAGGGAATCACCTGCTTCCACAAGGAAGTAGAAGAACACATAACAGTTGCACTAGAACCCTAACTGAAGCTTCCAATCCTGACACCAGCTGGAGGAACAGCTTTTACTAGTTTCCACTAACTTTCTCGCTCAGCACTGTTAGCTGCTGCCTAACAGCGTTCCCAAGGCCTGCTTCTTCAACACACCACTACGATATTCAGAGGTGCTTGAGATCTAGAGGGAGGAGTGTAGCTGGGTCTGCCCTTTGCAGAACGCGACAAAGGCTTCCATTTCAGAGCTCTGCTCCTTGCCGTACAGCTGGGATTTAATGTAACTAGCTGAAGCGTTACCTGTACTCTGCCTCAGAAATTAGCCTCGGGATTTACAGCTCACTGCTGGCTGAGGGGAAAACCAAAAGTCCTTTTTAGGCAAAGTGGGTGGGTACGGGTGGCGATTTTAGATAAGAAAGAGGGAAACATCCAGCAATCAAACAACCCCCAAATTGGAGTTTATCAATCTCTGCCTGCCCTGAGGAAGCGTGCATGCTTGAGACAGGCTGAGGGCGAGCCTGCGGCAGAACTGGAGTATCTGAGTCGGTGGCAAGAGGAGCGTTAGTTTCCAGCGGTGTGGCACCGCTCCTGCCGGAGCTCACATCACGCTGTGTGCAGTCTCCAGAGTTTGCCCAGAGACTACACACTGAAAACCAGGAGGAGGCAGGGAAGCCTGGACTGAAGAATCCTTCAGCATTTCTTTTCTACAGGGATTAGGGAACAGAGCTTGTGCTCGTAACAGCACACTATAGTTGCACGGGCTGAGCTAGTAACTCTCACTTACCATTGACAGGCTCTCCACTTTAGCGTTTGTCTTCTGATGTAGGAAATACTGAGTGAGGAACTGGTTGATTGTTGGAGCTGCCAAGTCAAACGACAAAACCTTCAAAATCAAGTGCTCCATCCTTAGAACCTGCTTCTTGGTATAGGTGTCATCTGTGATGTAGACAAACTCTGCTACTTCAGGAGGGTAGATTTCCTCGAACTTTCTGCCAAAAGAAATAGCAATGAGCAAATAATGGAGTACAAGAGAACCAGATAACCAGCAACATTGAATGAAAGCCAGCATGCTAATTTAAATTCTGACTTGTGAATTAGCTGGGCGCTGTTACCAAGTAAGCTTGCTGCACTTGGTTCAGTAGCTCTTGAATCAGCAGAATTTGAAATTACAGAGCTACAATAGTCTGATAAGCAATCTGGGACTCAAGAGTTACTGAAATTCCAGAAGCACCAGAACTAATAATTGGTGCAAGTGAAACTTCCTTTTCACATGCCTTGTGCAGATTCCCTCAAACACTGCTGAGAAGCCTCCTGCTGCTGCAGCTAGAAAGAATGAATCTTCACATCAGCTCAATTACAGAAAAAGCCTAGGACCTTGCTTGCAATTTCATACAAAATGCCAAGCTTTTAGGCAGATAACTCCTGATTTTGCTTCTGCTGCAAAGCCTGGCTATAGGCAACAGAAACGCGATCAACACAAGATTGTCATCTTTATGAGACCAGCAGGTTGAACTTGAAACGAAGCCATTTCACTTACGATGCAAGCAGCATAGCTGCGGTACCCACAAGCTGAAGTTTTCCTCTCAGAACAGACATTGAGGAAAGAAACCTGTCAATGTAATTTACAGCTAAGTGCAGGGTTTCATTCTGTAATTTGTACTCTTCTCCAACTTCCACCAGCCAGTCCACAAGAATAGCCCGCATGTTGTTCGTGATATCAGGCTGCTTCTTCATGTAACCCACTTTAGGCTTGCATTTCACCTGTAGGTTTAGAGGACAGGTAAGGTTCAGTGTGGACTAAGTGCCAGCAGGGAAGCAACTGTTTAAGCTCTATTTACCACAGTTCAAACAGAAGAGAAGTAAACAATGGGAAGTCTAGGATCAGCAAGTTACTTTTGCGTAACCTTGCCTTCCAGCTTCCGTCCAGTGCAGGGCACCACCGACTTTACCACAAGAAACCCATCTTGTGTGCACAGCAGTGGACACAGCACCTTACTTCTCCATCTCCAGCAAGCTTTCATTTAGTGGCTGCGGGAGTAACTAACACTCAGATGCATTTCTCAACCCCAAATTTCTCCCCCGTAAGCTGTACACAAATCAGAAGACAGCAGCTCACCTCCATTTCCCTAAGGTACGTGTGGATATCGCTGATATAGTCTGGCACATCACTAACGTTGGTTTTTTTCTCTTCTGCTTCAGAGGTTATTGAAATATCCATAATACTTGGAGAATCTAAGCAGAAGACAACCGTCGTGTTAACCTGGGGACCGTGGGAGCACTCCCCTGCAGCACAGGGAACTGCCCCGTTCCGCGGTGCGTCGGTGCTGGCTCTCCAGGAGCGCTGGCTCTCTTGCCACCTAGGCAGGCAGAGAGGGCAGCCTATTGCTCAGCTCAGCCAGGACTTGAGGAAACTCTAGGGAACCCAAAATGTTACTGCAACAGGGAAGCTTCCCCTTTCTCTTCCTTCCCCGAAGAATAAAGGGATGCAAAGCTCTTGCAATTACGCAGTGCTCAGTGCATCCTGTGTTACCCTGTTAGGCACTCGTGAATCCCATGTGCCCAGCTGCTGTGGCTCAAACAGGGCTGGAGTACCAGGGATTTTTGCAGACTGCAGAAGTGGACCATGATCAAATCAGCCCTCGGATACGCATGCACACACTACAGAAAATGGATCTGACAGCTCCCATTTTTTTGTAAACCAGGAAGAGCTCAAAACACATGCACCAGTACAGGGTGTCATCTGGGAGGAAAGACTATATTAGTCTGTGCTGGGTTTGGTTGGGATAGAGTTCATTTTCTTCACAGTAGCCCATATGAGGCTGGTTTGGATTTGTGCTGAGAAGAGCATTGATAACACTAATGTCTTAATCTGTTGCTAAGGAATGTTTATACCAAGTCAAGGACTTTTTCAGTTTCTGATATGGCCCCTGTGTTCCCAGCTGCTTCTCCACCAGAAACCGGGAGGGGACACTGCCCGGACAGCTGACCCAAATTGAGCACAGGGACATTTCACACCTCAAACATCATGCTCAGTGTAGAAGTTTGGGGTGGGCCAGGGGCTGCTTTTGTTGGTTGGCTTTCTCACTCACACTCCTTGCTCATGGGGCTCACTCTGACTCTGGTGCAATCTCTCTGGGGCTCTGGCTCTCCCTGCTCGGGAGCTGGCTGGGCATCAGTCAGCAGGTGGTGAGCAATTGTATCACTTGTTCTACTTTCCATTATTTTCACTACATATTATTAGTAGTGGTGGTAGTATTATTTTCATTGCATAGTAGTGGTAGTAATATTAGTGTTACTATTTTTTAATTTAAATTCAATTATTAAACTGTTCTTATCTCAACCCACAAGTTCCCTTGTCTTTTCCTCTGATTCTTGTCCTCCATTGGAGGAGTGGGGGGAGTTGAGTGAGTGGCTGTGTGGTACTTGGTTGTTGGCTGGGGTCAAACCACGACAGTGTCTCAGGATCTGCCCAAGTGAAGTCCTGATCTCATGAAAAGGAACACTAATCCATTCTTGCACGACATGAGTAAGGCATGTCAGTATTAGAGGGGCCCTGCCTCCAGCCAGCGGTGGAAAGGGTCAGCTGTGTTTACTGGACTGTGTGGATTCGATGGCCTAGCACATCAGAGCTGCAGCAGCATAAGGCTCTAGTGGACACGGGTGCACAGTGTACCCTCATGCCATCAAGCTACAAAGGGGCGCAACCCATTAGTATTTCTGGCGTGAACTGGGGGCTCTCAACAACTGACTGTGTTGGAAGCTGAAATAAGCCTGACCGGGAAGGGGTGGCAAAAGCACCCCATTGTGACTGGCTCAGATGCCCCGTGCTTCCTTGGCATAGACTATCTCAAGAGAGGGTACTTTAAGGACCCAAAAGGGTGGGCTTCTGGTGTAGCTGTTTTAGAGACTGAGGAAACCGAGCAGCTGTCTGTCTTGCCTGGTGTCTCACAGGACCCTTCTGTTGTGGGACTGCTAAAGGATGCCAACCAACAGGTCCCAATCGCCACAACAGTATCGCACCAACTGAGACTCCCTGATTCCCATCCAGAAGCTGATTCATCAACTGGAGAGCCAAGGGATGATCAGCAAGACTCGTTAACCCTTTAAGAGCAAAGTAACGTTAAGGGACCTGCACGAGAAATCCAGT